AATAGCTTCCCTTCCGAGATCGTCGAAAGCCCTCACAAAACACCTTCACCAACCCTGCGCACAACTCTGCGTCGTTGGATCCCCCAAGAGGCCAAATCATCGCCCCAGGAATCAACAAGTCGTCAACAGGAACGCGGCTTTGATTCCTTGAGGTCGGGATAGCAGACCTCAGATGCTACATCGAGTTTCCTGGGGGGTAGGTGGCTCCTAGAAGCTGCTTCTTTGCTCCCAAAAACGTTTCAGAGGCTTCCGGGAGCAAGAGAACCCCCAGGGTCAAGGCGTGTGCTCCTAGCTCTAATAGAGCCGTCACCATGAATGTACCCGGTTTCGTAGTAGTGATGATCGGATATTAAGACGAGCGCCTTGTTACATTGAGAGTTCGAAAGTCTCATGGTGGCCACGTGCGGCCGGTTAGATATCCTCGCTTCGCAATCGAAATTCTGCAGCTCAGCTGCAGCTGTAAAGAGAAACCCCAAAGCAATTTGTGTTACACCTCTAGCTTCAACAACACTGGATTTCACCCTTTCGTAGCACCATTTGCCATTATACGCCCTTCGAAGTGAAAGCCGAGGGGTTAAAAAAGTAAAAGTGAGTCAGAGCGGATTGCGCTGTGATGGTTGTGACAGCAAAGAATTGATGAGAGGACTCAATGCCTCATAGTTCTGTGAATTTGGATATCGGCTAAGTTCGACTCTGCAGGGTCATCAGATAGAAGCTATATACTGATTGTACAGGCTTATCTGGACGACGCTCGTTAATGATACGATTCAACGCGTTGATTTAGCCCCCAGAACTCGCACTACTAACTCCCAGGGAGACTTCACGGAGAATGAGAAGGATATTCCTCATTACATATATATCCTCACATTTCCCATCCCTTTGATTATATAGTATCAGAGGCTTTCAACCTTCCTCATGTCTTCGGAGGCACTAATTATAGCAAGAAACATGACCTCAGGAAGTTTGGGAGAGTCGGAACCCGGGGCAAGACATGGTATGCATACCCTAGAGAGTTATAACGTTCCATCCTAGCCTGAAATTGAGAAGACGGGAGAAGCGCAGAGTTGCTTTGGGATCTAAAGGACTACTGGTCTTTCTTCGCCAAGTTGAGGGACGCGTATCGACTAATCAAATTGACACGCAAATTTCTGCTTTCACCCGCGGTAATTCCCAGCGCCCAAAAAATATCGATGGGGTTGAAGCTGCGGTGAAAACCTTCCGTCTTGATTCATAAAAATGGAACGTTAAGCACCGAAGAGCACAGTACAAGACGCAAGATTGTATACTGTATGGTCGCTACGCTGAGTTAATGAACTACGTTGAGCGTTGGCAGGTGAGGGATCTAAGATAGCCTTGGATGAAACTATCTAAGTTACTGACTTTGTGAAGATTATCAATTTCCTGTCACGGGTCCAGCAAGAGAAATGAGTCGCGCAGATGGAAAAACGAAAGAGGAAGGAAGTTCACTGCTCTTGGCCAAATGATAGATTGGACGTCGCGCGATTATTTCGCCGCTGCCACGAATGCACTCAGGAAGCTATTGATGCTTTCGCCAATGGTGGGTAGGATTTCGAATTTTCTGGGTCCCGATAATCCTAATCCAGCCCATAGCGAGTTGGATGTATTTGATGGCAAGCTAGGGATTTATTAGATCTTTGCCTCACGATGAGAATTTTCATAGCTTACTCACGCTAGTATAACCTTTCCGAGTTGTAGGATTGACAACAGCGCAGCAAAGCATCTATGACTGGATTGTCAGAGTGGACAGTGCATCTTGAAATATTCTCGGAAAATGAAAGACCCGTTCCGGCAGTATCCGTCATTTATATGTTTATCTGGAGAGCATTCCTACAGGCACTACGTGCCCTTTTCCATTCAATAATACACGCCGTAGCTATCCACCAGGCTTTGCGAAGCTTCATCTTTGCACCGATACTGCCAATGGCCCTCAACCCAATTTGACTATCGATGAAATCGCCCAAGAATCAAAGGAATAGAGATCTGCGGGCGCAGCATGCGGTATGCAGAACAGGGGACTACAGTTGAGATTCGTCGTCAGAGATACCAATATTTCTACGATGTGAGAAAGAGCTTATAGAATATCGAGCGACCAAAAGCTGCAGTGGCACGCGCATGAATAGTCACCATGGACAGCCACATCTGGATCTTATCACTGCCAGGGATCGCGGTTGCTTGGGATTGACCACTAGGCTACATTGTAACAAGCCAAGAAGGCACAATGTTTGGTCATCCAGTAGCGAATTGGACGTGCACGGTGCCTCTGGCGCTCTGCCAAAAAATGTCTATCCTGAGACTTTTAAAGAATGATCTCTCATAGGATAATAAACACTGCACACGCAGTAAAATTGACTGTCTAATATTTCATAAGCAACTTGCATACTTCGAAAGGTTGGCATAGAAAATTATCTATTATAACGCTGGTGAGTTATTGCGAAGCTGGAGAAGGGAAGGGTGGGGGCTGCGCGCTTGGGCAGCTGGCAGGTTCGGTGCAAACCCGGAGAACCCATTGAAAACGCTTGACGCACATGATTTAAGAGCAGCAATCACGGTCGCTTTGACTCACAAAGCCCACTTCTATTTAGATACCCTTAGATAACACAAACCAAAGCCAAGGGTGGTAGTATTTCTCATCATCCATAGGATCCAGGATCATCGGCAGATATTTCATGTGCCATTCTTCTTGAAGAGCATCATCAAAGTACTCTGGATCCACTCTCACTCGTCGTGCTTTACAATATTCCCAGTACGCAGGATACCACCCAGCCTGACCCCAGTCAATGATCGCTGCTACTTGTGGATTCGACCCAGGCGATAGAAGGATGTTGGGTGGGGCAAAATCGCTGTGAGTGAAGACGATAGGCACTTCGCTGTCGATCTCAATCCCACAAGCATCTTGAAAGAGTTGGATGGCGTTCACACCTTGAAATGGACCTGCAAGTTCTGGGTGGGCATCGAGGAATGCCTCACTCAGTGGTTGCTTACCGAAACTGCCTGTAGAGTATATTTCAGATTAAGGTTGTTTATGTATTAAATCCGAGGGAATGCACGTACCGATATAACAGTCCTGCTTGTCCTGCGTTAAGGCCCTCCATGTTTTCACAATATATTGAAGTTGTTCGCAGACGGCCCGTCTCTCAGCCTCATCCATGCCTCTCCATCTCTCTTGCAAAGTCTCACCCTCAATCAAGGACATGTAGATAAAGACCTGTCCTTCATCCTCGGTCCATCCAAAAATCTCAGGAGTAGGTACCTGTCCTTGTAGTTGCTCGCGTATTCTCATTTGAGTTTGAGCCTCAATCACGGTCACGTCGGCTCCGTACTTAACCACCAGTCCAAGAGACGGTATCTTGACAGGAGGGGGACGGTTGAAATTTGTGGCGTAAAGATTGCCAGAATTTTTGTTGATGGCTCTTATTTCAACTGGCGCAGGGAGTGCAGAGGCTCGTCTCTCTTTGAAAAAGCTAGACTCGGGAAAGATATTCATGTTACGACGGGTGAATGGGGTTCTAACCCATTGCTTGATTTCGAAGTATCAGGGGTCGAGATGAGATATTGAGGAACGTGACAGTCAGGCTGGGAAAAGAATAGTCGTGACGGGCAGCGATTTGAGGAATGGGATCGCTCGATGACTAATGAAGTCAAGTGACCACGAACCAGAGGTACGGCGATTAACATAAAACGAACCGCTGCTTGTAACGCTAGGAAGGAAAACTATTTGACGGAGCCAGAATTAGATTTGGTTCATCAAATGCAGGAATGATTTCCAAAAATAGCTCGTCATCTAAAATGGTGCGAAACATTCTTTTTCCCTTTTCCTTATTCATCAGTTTCAGTAAGCGCCAGCTCCTGGGACTAGTACAGTATAGGGCCTGAGTACCAATGAAAATCGAGGGCAGTTCCTGGGCGGCGCTACAGCAAGTCACAACGTAGTACTACACTATGACCCCTAGCATTGTAATCGGAAATTGCTTTCATCGCCATCCAATCAATAGGATATTCATTTCGTCGCGCGCGTCTGCGACCGCCAAATGGAGGAATGAAGAGATGAAACGTGGGATTAACTATGCACCACATCTATCCTTAGCAAGTAACTTACAGACACGTAAGTAATAATACTTAAACGGCCCTTTCCATCGGATCGAGAGGCTTTAAACTCTGCATTCTAAATTTCTCGTCAATCCGCACACAGAATTGAGGAACATTCTCGTACCATAACATCTATCGAAAGAGCTGCCTTATCACCATGCCTTCCCCACCTATAACTATTGTCGCCCCACCACCTCCTCCACCTCCGCCGGCCGTCATGGCCCCCACTTCTCTGGCCTCTAAGCCGCCGCTGGTGGCCCCGACAGGACCCATCGGTGCCTTTATGGTCGAGCTGTTGATCTATAACGGCTCGCCCTTCAAAGATCACTGGGGGTACTGGGTACGCTCACACACCAGTCCGGACATTGGCGTTATGATACACGCGACCGGTGATGTGAGGAATGGGTTTGTATTCGAAATCAAGCGCAGCCATGACTTGCAAAAAACCCCCAATCGTCCAACCATGAGAGTCCCGCTGCAATGGGTCGATGGGAAGTACTTTGATGAGAAGGCTATGCTCAACAACGGCGAACGAAAAATCGAAAATGTGCCTGTCTGTCCCTTCGAGACCAGTGCTTATAAAGTGAAAGTTCCGGGGAAGTCTCTGAATACAACCAGTAGCGCGGTGAGTTCTATAAATTGCGAGAAATCTGTCTTATATGACGACTAACAATTTCAGGCCACACCCAGCAGGAAAATCACCCAGAAGAACTGTCAGACATGGATTGTTGAATCTGCCGACCAACTCCTCAAGGATCATATTTTCAGCCGGGAAGTTGCCATCTATCTTCACGCGATTGAGCAGTAAACATTGGGAACGAGAGGTTGGAGGGGTTTGACGGCTGGATCATCGCGTGCATGTATCTAGACACCATGCTTCTTCTCTCTTTTTCTTACTCTTGAATGAACACCATCTCGCGCGGATTCGAGTCGGCTATGTTGACCTTCACAGCAACATATCGGCTCAGATGAGTATCTCGGGCAAGCCAAACAGTCGAATAGCTCCCAAAACCAAGTTTGTCTACAACATGATAACGGTCATGTAGCACGTCACCAATCATGATGGGATGGTACCCCCAGGCTGGTAACCTTCGAGTGTCTCCACACCCTTGATCCAGTTGTACTCGATGCGATAGTTCTCGGCCATTGTGGTGCCCAACCGGGTGAAAGGTCCTGAGTCGAGCTTTCGAGGACGGAAAAGGGATTGGTAAACTGGAAGTGAAGGACGAGATGAGACTAGTAGTATTGGAAGGTAGTCTAGTCTGGCAACCTTTTTGAAGCAGCGTGTCATAGTAGGTTATCGTGATTGTTCGGAGAAATTGACAAGGAAACGCCCTGGGAAGGGGGCGTGAACGCCGGATGTGTTCCGTTCCGTGTAATCACGTGACAGGAGCAATGTATGAGAAGGATTTCAAGGAAATGAGTTCACATAACCTGACATGAAGGCCAGCTATTGACAGCCTCACCTATTTCAAAATTGCCTTAGCTCGAAATAGTGCCGGTAGATAATAATTTTTTTTCTCGTCATACCTAACCGCGGTGGCCAAAGAAATACAGATACGGATTCATCTCAGCGGGGCCGTGTCGCATGAAGACGGGATTGTTGGCAGAAAAAACACAACTCGGGGACTGGCGAGAGACTGACAAACTCTTGTGCTTCTTAACTTGACTCTAGGATCCTCAAAGCATTTCTAGGAGTGTGAAGGTCTCACGTATCCGTAGATGAGGACAGTCTTCCAGATGAGTAATCAATATTAAAAAAAGCTAACTATAGTCGACTCTAGATACAAGACGTAGCGCGAGGAAGCAAAAGAAAGGTAGCTTCCTCGCGTTCAGGGGAAACTCATATACACCATGTGGGTCCCGCGCAGATCATCTCCATGTATATCCCTGACACTTCTAGAAGCAGTTTCTTTGCTCCCAGAAACGATTCAGGGCCCTCTGGGAGCAAGAGAACTCCCAGGGTCAAGAGATGAGTTCCCAGCACCGATGCAACCGTCAACAGGAACATGACCGATTCTTGATAATGATGATGAAGATGTGCATGTTTGTATCTAGATAGGGCTATGAATATCTATCTATTCGCTGTTTATACGGACAGAGACAGAGAGTGCGCATAACAAGGGAAAGCTCACTTTTCCTAGCCTTCAGCAATGAAAGACATCAATCCCAAGGAAATTGATATCAGACCCATCAGGCCTAGTGGATTTAGTTTCCCTCTGATTTCTGGAGGCAGTAATGGGATGGCGTCTTTCTGGGCACCAATTGGAGGGCAAACGGTGGACCACTGAGATAAAGCCCCTGCTATCTGTAGAGAATTACCGCGCAAGGCGAAACAAAAATACTGACTCTAGTTACGTTCAAGGTGAAAGAGAACCATGCTACTATTAGTTCATATCAGTACAATAGCGAGTCACCACAGTATCTGCAACCTTGGGAGCTTCAAAGGGCCCCTGGCCCCGGGGCCCACTCAGCAGGCCATGGAGGGCCTCGCAGGCTCAGCTGGGCAAGACGCAATCACGCCGTTCTAAAACTCCCTATTTATGTACTATAGCGTAGACTGGTTGCTTCAACGCCACTTTTTCACTTTTAAGTCTGAGATGGATTATGTACATGGCTTGGTCGAGCGGCAAATTCAGGAAATGATAATCTACAGAACAACAAATACGGCTCCCACTTTGAGGCGCATTTCATTCGAATTGTGAGGTATTCTTTGCTCTGCATCTTGACCAGCTTTTAAAACTTCACCGGTCCTAGGTGCCATCAACCAAGGACAAACAACGGTAGTTCAACGAACGCATGGCCTCATCTCGGGCATATGCAGTTGATCGACGGTCTCGTCTGTGGCGAATTGACCAAGCCCAACTTTGGGTTTGTCAAACTGGGCAAGCTCTTTTCGGATGAGCTTGACCAGATTTGAGTGCCTTAATGACTCAGCATTCTCAGGGATCTTGTGCAATTCAGCCATCACCTCCTCTTGCTCATATATGGCTTCAAATAGCTTCCGTACTCGGCACTCAGTTGACCAGGAATGTTTCTCTTCAGGCTGCGCCGTTACCAGGTGGTAATGAAAGGATTTGAGGCTCCAGCGATGCTGCTCATGCAGCTGCTGTAGCACCATATCTACCCGCTGTCGGTCAGACAATCCAGGAATATATTTGTAGTTGCTGGGCAGATCTTGCGGCACAGTTCGCGTGCGCATCCCGGGTGGAGGTGATTGACACGCGCGTTTTCGAGACATAGCGGTCGATTTTTCGTGGATTCTATGAGAGAAAACAAATAACAACCATGAGATACGCCAATACCTAGCATATGAAGGCGTACCCGAGGTGAAATAGGGATGTTGACAAAAATTGCCGCGACATAGTATGTAGCAGACGCGTTCAGCGCTCAGACCATATGGCAGCAAGCAATCCGATTAGGTTTAGCGTGCCAAAAATCCGGCAGAATTATTGGATCATGTGATATGGTCTGAGGAAACTGAGGTAAGTCTCTTTGTTCATTCCCTCTCATGACTAAGTCATATAACGGAATTCCCAGTCAACCTGGCCATCGCAAAACACCTTACTAAATACAGAATTTCTCAACTTCATTGTTCAACACTTACGGCTCACTTTATAGCTTAACAATATGTTAGCATCTAATATATCATGCAAAATATTTCTATTAGGTCGAGAAGTGTTTTAGGGCATAACAATGTTGATAGATGTATCTATTGCTCGTTGGCAGCGTAATTTTGGTATCAGCAGTAATTAATAGTTTTGCTTATGCTATGATGTTTAGAAAGCTGAAGAATCATACCATACCGAAAATCAAAAAGAAATATCTTCTCGTTATTGATATATTGAGACTTAAAAATCGCATTTAGTATGGTATTTTGTGATGGCCAGGGTGACCGGGAATTAACTTACGTTAAGTCGTACTTAGTCATAATATCATGTTCATTCAAAGAACGCCACGCCTTCCGCTCATCTACTTCCGCAGCTCCGCCAACAACTCCCCATATACAGCTCTTTCAAGTTCGTCGTACAGCTTAATAACAACAGCATCCGGAAACGGGTAAACATTTACAATCAGCGTCGCCGCAATGCCCGTCGCTCGATCGATCCACTGTCCGCCCCGTTGTCAGCCAGTCAGTCTCTTGTCCCAATGACAGCGCGCATAGCAACTCACCCAGTGACAATTCGCCATGCCCATCCACTGCATACTCCCCGCTCTCCTCTTCCCCGGTACGTCCTCTACATTGATAATACCTCCGATCCCATGTTGTACCATCGTTCCAGGCGGAAACTCCGGAATCATTCCATTGTGCCGACGGTTTACCGTATCCTGCAGCGACGTCCGCTGCATGTCGTTCAGCTGCGGACGGAACATCTCGTCGACCGTCTCCTTTTTCAAGATCCCGCCTTCTTCTTGCCCCTCAGAAATGGAAAGCAACGCTCGTAACATCCGCGCGTGGTCCCGCCCCGTCGTCCACAATCCCGCGCCCGCACTTTCGACCGGCGGTTCCAAAGGCACCGGCAACGGGCGCATCTGCAGCGACCCCGTCCTGCGGTCGCGCAGCGTACAGCCTGCCTTCTCGAGATTAGGCTTGGAGGTGGAGTGGAACGTGGTGTCTGCCATGCCGAGCGGCCGTAGTATGTTTTCCTCGAGGTATACGCCGATCGTCTGGCCCGTCACGCGCTCGACCACCTGCGCCGCCCAGTCGATCGACGTGCCATACCGCCAGCCCTGGCCCGGGGTAAACTTTAATGGTGTCGTCCAGCCCGCCAGTGTGTGGTGTAGATTTGTGTCCGTCCTGCCTATCGATTTCGACCACTTCTTTAAGTCCGGGTCGGCGACGTCGTAGGCTAGCCCGGCTGTGTGCGTGAGTAGGTAGCGCAGTGTGATTTCGGTATCGTTGTCTTCGAGAATGGGTGCGCCATTTGCGGGGTTGAAACCGCGTAGGATATTTAGGCCGGCCAGCTCGGGGACAAGGGGTCGGACGTCGGAGTCGAGAGAGAAGAGGCCGCGTTCGACGAGGGTGAGGATGGCGGGGACGGTGATGATTTTGCTGGACGAGGCGACCCAGGTGAGGGAGGAAGCGTTGAAGGGGGTGCTGTTTGCTGGAATGGAGGTGCGGCCAGTTGAGCCTTCGTAGAGGATTTCTAGGAGGGTGAGTTGTCAGTTAAGGGGTAGGGATGGGACTAGACTGGTGTCTGGAGCTTACTATTGCTATCAACGACGACGAATGCTGCCCCGAGAAGCTTGTCCCGGGTTTCGTCGCCTTCGGCAACGTATCTCGCGAGGATCGCGTCGAGAGTCTCCATGATTGCCAAGTCTCAGGAGTATCAGGAATATTGAAAGCGGTAATAATTCTTGGAGAGATAGCTGGCGAAAGCAATCAGGGCAGCTTCCAGCGAAGTTTTGATGGAAAACCGCCCGGTGCTTTTCCATGACTCACCTGGCTCCGACTTCCCCCACACCCCTTCCCGTTGTGGTGCGCCATGCTTTACCTTCATCCACGCATTACCGTTACTTTTGACTATTTACACGATTCATCAACGCATTGGCTCATTATCAAAAAATCTCTCCACTCTCTTGTGCTGCTCTCGCTGCTTCGATTAATGCCTCTCTTGGCTGTAGTCCCATGCCATTTGCACGGCTAAGAAGGCGGGCTGGGCGGGCAGAGAGAAGGCCAGAGCCTCGGCGCCAAGAGTCGGGTGTAGGGAGTCGAGATGCGATCGATTGGCCCTGGGCTGGGATTCAAGGTGATGCCTTGTTGGGCGAGCTTCGGGGCAGCCAAGCTGTGCCAGCATAGGAGCTCCATCGTCCGTAGCTTGATACTGTAGTGTGGGAAAACAGGTCTCCCTCTCTCCATCCTCGAACACTCGCAGGGTCTTGGCCCTACTCATTCGGTTGGCTTGCAGGGCGCCCAGGGGACCAAAATTGGCCTCCATCACATGTGATATCTGCTGTACTAAGTAATCGCGCTACTTGATACGGCAGCCACCCCTGCCCCTGCCCTCCAGCTTCACACTACACGCATGTACCGGAGGGTGGGTATCCATCCAGGTCGGGTGGGTGTGCAACACGCCTTACACGCCTCATCATCCACGTGCCGCAAGGCCCAGTCTTGCCTTTTTGTCCATCAACGTCGTGGAACGGCTCACAGCCAAGCTTGCAGGAGGGTTGTAGCGGGAACCCGCCAGAACACGCAGCTGCGTCACGCCAAAGTCTGGCCCTCTCCAGCTCAGAAGTATCTGTAGTGTCATCACGGCCGGGACATGGAAGCGGCTTGGCTTGCTTGTGGCATGCCTGTGCTGACGAGCTCAAGGGGGATTTTCACAATATCCTGGTAAAGCTATTGACCTTGCTAGTTTCCATCTTTGCAGTCCTCGCGCCGAACTGTATCTATAGCAATTTTAGTAATGGGACGAGGGGACTTCGAATAGAATGGAGTGCGAAACCAACCGCTCTCTTCTTCTCCCTCGCGACGCCCTCCATCCCCAGCTCGAGAGCTAGGAGTCGGAGGACCCTTTTGACCGCGTCGACGCCGGAAATGTCCTCCCCGTTGGCGAAGTCGCATTTTTCCCAGGCCGGCGTCTCGATAGCCCACCGCACTAGGCGCTCATCCAGGTAGGGGAATCGTACTTCTTTCCCCCAGTGAGCTATGGCGCGGTCGTCTCTACCTAAGTTTCGTTTCCCCACGCGCCCGATGTCGAGCTTAAGCTCGTCAACCAAGCCGGCATGGCCCTGCCTTGAAAAGGCCGTGGCATGCCGCGCGTATCCACCAAAGAGCTCGTCAGCCCCTAGCCCGGAGAGAAGAACTCGGGCCGGTGTGGTGTACTGGGCCTCAGGCGTTCCGGCTTCAGCGCATGACCCCTGGCCGCGCGCTGCAAAATACAGAGCATACGCTATCCAGAGGTCCATCTCTGTGTCGTGGGGGTAGATTAGAGACACCACTTCCTTGCGATGCGTCAATGTCTCCGAGTATGGCACATTTACCTGTGTCGAAACCGTTAGTGACTTCTTGATATCGCGGGGAGAGCTCTCCTACGGCTACGAAGCGGAATCGTCTCCCTGGGCACGATTTCTGCAGCTCCTCAAGCGACTTCCGCCCTGTTATCCGGTCTGGGCAGGTTTCGTACGGGTTGACCGGACTGCCTCGTGCCTCTTTCTTGAGCTGGGCCACTACGCGGGGGTTCTCGAAGGCAACATTGAGGAGATCGATGCCGTAGCTATCATCCAGCAGCTCGTGCGTCAGCCTCGCGAGGACCGAGCAATCCAGGCCGCCAGAGAACAGCACGGCAACCCTCGTGTCCACTCGCTTGTCATCTTCCACGGGCGGTTTGGGGATGTTCCTGACACGGAGGCGAAGTGACTCGCCCAGCTGCCGCCTCAGCGACCGGACAGACGGCGCGGAAGCGGTCAGACAGGCGGCCTTAGGCGGTCCAGATACATTGAACACGCCGATTCCCGATATCTAGATAAGTAAGTTTGAAGGACAGCACACCTCGAGTAGAAGGACGACGCTGCGCTACTCACCAGATCGCCTTGGCCGTCATATTGCCAGTCGTTCCGCGAGACAGCAAGAGGAGTCCCTGAAGTAGCACTAAGAGTCAGGTGGTAGATGCCATCCAGCTCTACTTCCTTCCAAGCAGGGTTGCAGGACTCCGGAACGCTGGAGAGTATGAAGGTGCCGCTCGCCTCATCCTGGTAGAACACAAGAGACCGACGTCCCAGCCGGTCGCGCCCGAAGAAGAGCGTCTGCGAGGGCTTGTCGAAATATGCGAAGGCAAAGGGCCCTTCGATGGAACGAAGAGCATCAAGAATGCCGCCTCTGGCATCCAACGCGGCGCCCGCAGCACTTGCTTCCGCGAGCAGGCCGAAGATAGCCTCGCCGTCGTTTCCCTCTACCTCGCACCCGGCGATCCTCCAGGCCTCTCCATTCCAGCAGAGAACGGACCCGGTCCGGGAGTCGTAAAAGGGCTGTGCCGTGATGTGGTCCCCGCGGAGCGCAAGCACGGTCGAGGTGCAGGTCAGAGTCTGCGCGCCGGGTCCGACATGCGCTACGACTCTGCCCAAATGATCGGGCCCCCGATTCCGCAGCCGGGCGGCCAGGTCATGGCTGGACGTGTGCGGGGAGCTCGAGGAAAGAACAACGTGAATGCCGCACATCTCGTGGCACCTAGAACTAGAGGTCGCAGGTGCGCGCACTGG